TGGAAGCCCATAATGGTTTTTTTCAACGAAAATACTAACACCCTGCAGAAAAAAAAAAAAAAAAAAAAAAAAAAAGTAGTTCTAAGTAGTTCTTAAAGAAAATCAGACCAAAATTGGTACTTCCAGGTCAAACCAATTTACAAAAATTGCTGATGGGGCTCAGCGGTAAAGTGTGACCCAGGTATGGAGGCCTTAGTTTGATGACCTTTGCGGCATGTCTTCCCTCTCTCGTAACATTCTTTCCTGTCTGACAACTGCTAAATAAAGGCCACTAGAGCCAACAAAATCTTAAAAAAAAATAAAATAAAATTGTTGATCGTGAATCGGCCCCAGACCGCTGATTGGTGCATCTCTACAAGTTATACGACCCACTGTGCGAGAACGAAATGGATTGAAATGTTTAGAGAACTTGTAACGTTCGGACACACTCCAGTAACATTAAGTGTAAAAGCATCCTTCATTTACAAGAGTCACACATCAAGTAAAGTATAAAACACACACACCTGGCCCAGTAAATAGTCCAATAAAACAAACAAAATAAACCCAGACAAATGTTCTTTAGGTTTAAGAAAGTATTCAGCTTTTTACTGTTACTGTCTCTTTAAGTTAGTCACTGTGGTGAGGCATGAAGATGTCATCTCACTGTGGAAAATGTCAGTCCTCACATATGAACAATAAATCATTGTAAAGAGCTAAAATACAACCAAACACAATCAAACAGTACAGAGCCAGTGATTTTTTTCCCCCCCCTCAGGTTAAGTGAAGAGCCAGGTCCAAACCGGATCCATGGTCCAGTCAGGGCTCCTCTGATTTTGTTTAGAAGGAAAACAGAGTGGAGAAGCTGCAGAGGACAACCTGCTGATGAAATACAAGCTCCCCAACCAGCCAGCCGAGCCAGAGACAGACCCGTCACATAGCAGAGCCACGTTAAGTCCTCCATTACAAATCTAGCAAATCAATGGCTTGCTAGATTTTCTCTCCGCTTCCGTTTCCTCAGAATGAGTCAGCTTAAAACACACAGGAGACTCTAAAATCGCTCTTCTGAGAGTCCCCTCTTCAGTTTTTGGGATAGATTTTCTCATAGAAGAAATTTTGAGCCAGCATGTAGAGTTCCCCATCCTTTTCTCTGACAGCGTGGGCTCTGACGAACTGGAACTGCTCCAGCGCAAACTCATAGAAGTCGTTCTCCATCTTCCAGATGGCCGACTGCTGCAGCTTGGCGATGGATTCCTTAGTGGGTGGCTTTTTCTCACTGGTCCTCCTCAAGTGGGATTTCTTTCCTTTAAGACGAAAAGATACAAGTTAGGTGTCTGTTCGCATAAAAAAAAAAAAAGCCAGTTATAATTTTTTTTTTTTTTGCTGTGGTTTTAGTTAGTTTGCCTTTCCCGACTAAACCAGGAGTGGTGCGCTCAGAGTGATGTGTTAGAAGGTTTAAAAAGTTCACTTTAATTTTTTGCAACTTTTTCCACATGTTTGCTGTGTTTCGTTTACAGTTTGTGAGGCTTTTTTCTAACAAAGGAGGAAAAGAATTGTGGAAATAAAAGTCACTGTGTTGACAGATTCTCAGTTTTGGGTAGATGGTCATGCCGTTCTCTGTCAATTTCACAAGTTAGGATATTATTTTCTAACCTATCCACCATTAAAACCTCCGATTTACCTGATTTATTTCTATTGTCTGAGAAATGACTGAATTACTCAAATTACACACAGAGGGACTCAGTTTCTAACAAGTTAAATTCTGAAGGCATATCACAGTAAAAGGGGTCTGAATAAACTGTAATTTAAAGAATGTTGAGTAATTAATGTGGTAAATTATTAAACATTTTCCTTCCACTTCAACATTAAATACATTACCTGGCCACAAAAAGGCAACACACTAATAACTGGTCAGAACACATTTAGCTGTGGAATATATCAGGAAAAAAAAAACATTTATTGATGGAATCAAATGGAGATTCAGTAAATATTGATCCCAAAGGGAAATTAAATGTTGTTGTAACTCATATTGATTCAAATTCTTCAAAGAGTTACTGTAAATGGTAATGACTGTGGGCAAGAAAGACCTCCTGTAGCTGCCTGTATTTCAGTGAATATGAAGAAGCCTCTGACTGAAATTGTTTTTAAAAACTATCTCATAAAGATTATCAGGGTTGTCCATAATTTTCTTGAATTTATGTAAAATCCTTCTTTGCATCATCATCATCATCATCATCTCCTCCTCCACAGATGTCAACGGAACAGAACCAGCCAACTTCACCGGGTGAGGTGGGTTACTACGGTTACGGAGTTGTTGGGAGTTGTACAACTCTGGAAAAAAAATTTCAGAGCTCACTGCACTGAACCCCATTGAAAACCTCCTGGTTATTCCACCAAATATTAATGTCTGAACTCTTCCTGAGTTAAAACATTAGCATTGTTGTTTCTGAATGAATATTAACTTGTTTTCTTTGCATCTTTTTCATTATTTTGACCATTTTTCATTTTCTGCAAATTAAAACTAAATTTTTGCTTGGAATTTCAGAGACATGTTGTCAGTACCTCATAGAACAAAAGAACAATGTTCGTTTTACTCAGATATATACCTATAAAAAGTAAAATCAGAGAATTTTGAGTGGTCTCTTAATTTTTTCCAGAATATTTTATATACTCATATTTTTTTGGGGGGGGGAGCTAGGAGAGGGAAGACTTATGCCATTATTGGAGGAAGGTGGCATCATAATGTATGTAGAAATGCTCTCTGGAATGAGTTAGGAGTTTCTCCCGCTGCATCTTAAGAATCTGTCCTTTTGAAGTCTGGCTATTTGATTAAATATTTAAGATTGGGATTTTTTCCCTCCAGTTAGATTAAAAAGAAAAAAAAAACTATGATAGTTGTTTATTCCAGCAAAAGGGGTAGAGACGATACCAGGATTTAACGACAGAGTAAAACTTGCGCTACCCGTTTTGTACAGCTCTGTGGCTCCTCTGAAGAACCGTGGCAACGCAGCCTCCAGCATCATCACAAAGTCCTCCAGCTCCTCGGTGACTCCCACCAGCATGTACTCATTCACCAGGTTGTATTTGGCCTGCTCCAGCGCCCACTGGCTGCCCACATTCCTGCACACATCAAGTTTTGTTTGGGTTGACAGGGAGAAAAGCAAGATAAGACCATTTCTGTTCCGGTTGTTGCTCACACAACTATAAAAATAAAAATATGCAGTTATAGGAGCAGGGATGGAGGGGAAGGATGACGCTGCGGATAGGAACATATCAGGAGTGAGACGCCACCAACACATGCGTTGAGAGAGATGAAGCTAAGAGTGTGTTGTGAGCCCAGAGGACAAAATGGAGGCTGAGGAAAAAAACAGCTGCTTTTCAGATGTTTCTCAGTTTGTTTCAGCTTTCCATCCTGTTCTGTAGAGAAGAGAGTAAAAGGTGTCAGAGAGTCAGAGCAGCAATAAAAGCAATGCCAAAGGTGAGATGGTTACATAAATAGAGAGATGAGGTCAAAGGTGAAAGTACTGAAAGATCCTGGGAGGATAAAGCTGACAAAGCTGCTGCTTAGAAACTATTTTACAAGTTAAATAACAAAACGATAGAGAAAAAAATATATATGTACGAAACATTTATCTTGTCCTTTTTAAAGCAAGGAAGCAGAAAAAAAACAGAAATGTAAAAGAAGTGGAAAAATTAGGAAGCATCTTATAGTAGCTGGTAAAAATGTTCAAAGATCGATGTTTATTCTTAAATTAGACAATGGTAATTTGGTAATTGGTAATTTTATTCATTAAATAAAACAACCAAAATGTTTTCTGATTGTGAAAAAAAGACTAAACACTGGTCTTACTAAAATATTTATATTACTTAATTTTTATCTGTATTGTTAAAATTTGGATTAATTATCCATATGTCTATACAGCTGAAATCAGAATAAAAAAAGAAAAATCACACACACACACACACACACACACACACACACACACACACACACACACACACACACACACACACACACACACACACACACACACACACCTATTTTCTCCCTGTCTGAAGTTAAAACAGACCAAACTTCTCTCACCTTAGATCAGTCAAAATGACCAAACATTTCTATTTGCTAAATGTTGGAAAACTTATTGAGAAGATTTTTACACATTTTTTTTTTGTAACTTTCTTTGAATTTAGAAGTTTACATCAGTTAAGTCATACAGTTTAAATCCCTGATGCTGACCAAATGCATGTAAACTTCGGAATTCGAAGAAAGTTACAAAAGTTCTCAATAAAAGTTTTCTAACATTTAGAAAATATAAATAATTTTGGTACTTCTGACTGACCTAAAACAAGGGAGGTTTGGTCTGATTTCACTTCAGACAGGGAGAAAAAAAATATGCGTGTGTATTTTTATTTGCTGTACGTAAACTTCTAGTTTCAGCTGGATGTGTTTATTTCTTGAGCACAGTTTTGGTTCCATCCCAAATAAATACACTGCTGACTACAAAAAAGCATAATGCAGAATTCACATCAAATAAAGTAACATTCACAGTCAACTGGAGTAAAGGAAAATGTCAGCGTGTGCCACAGGGTAGAATGTGGAGATTGTTTTGTCGAGTGTGGCTGCTTTCAGGATGTATTCACCAACTATTACTATTTGACATCGGTCAACAAAAATGACATCATGACATACATTTTGCTTTTTTTCTCCTATAACAGTTTTCAGTGCTACCCAGACATATTCAGTAATCCATACTTCTAAGCTCAAATTGCAGGATTCTTTTCTCCAGTTCGTTTTATAAAAAATCTGGACATTTCACTATAAAAATATTCACTTCAAACTGCTCATTTGTAGGAGACACAAATAAAGAAGTAGTATAATTAAGTGCTGAAACTGTTTTTATTTATTTATTTTTCCATTTTCACTATAGTATTTTTTCATTGTTGTTGATGGACATGGAGGTCCACGACTCTCTTTTGATTTTCCATGTTGTCACACAAAGAAACAGAAAGTTTGAGTAGTTCCCTTGAACTACTACATCCTAGTGTTCGTCCAGTTAACTTATCCTAATATGTGAACTTCATAAAAACTCTTAAAGGGGCAGTACTCCACCAGGTGTTTGCTAATTGCTGCTGGCTAGTCTGAAGGAGCTGAGGGGGGACTTGCAGGGGCAAAACTCCAGGTATGTTTTTTGATTAGGGAATAACATTATAAAATGATGTAAAGTCCAAAAAAGTTGACTTTACATAATATGTCCTTTAATGTTTCAACATTTTACAATTAGCGATAAAGTTGGTAATCCTAACTAACCAAAGACAGGACGCCTTTACTCTGATTTAATGTCAGACAGTGAGGAGAAAAAGCAGGTCGTTTTCACAGTGTACAGCTGAATATCTGGTTTCAGCTGTACTAGCCTCAGGTTGAGTTTAGTCGAAGAGTTATTAATGTCCAGTGTTTCCACTGAACGATAAACAGAATGTTTGCTGTCAAAGAGGAATAAAGAGTGAAACTGGAACTCTTACCAGCATTCAGAATAGTGACCACAGAAAAAGGGGATCTGGAGCCAGAGTTTCTCAGGAGCACAGTCTGATCCGCCGGCTGACACGCACTCATCAAACGTCTGAAACAAATACGCACAAAACACATCAGGGGACAAAGCCGTGCATCTTTTTGACCCTTTCTTAATTATCTATGTCCAAACATGCATTCAGAGCATCATCTGACATCAATATGACTCAGCAGAAAAGTGGAACAGAGAGGAAGCAGACTTCATAGGGGAGTGTTGGCATGTTTTTTTTTTTTTTTTTTACCTTCTTGTCTCCTTGTTTCCTGCGCCTCAGACCGGGTCTGTAGTCGTCCCCAAACCGCAGGAAGTAATAATAAGACACCAGCCTCTCGATGGGGTCTCTGATCAGGTTAATGTAGATGGGCTTCCTCTTCACTCCAAACCTGAGGAGGATTCACTGAGTCAGGCAACTGGAAGAAGCTCGAGAGTAAAACCAATTTTACCATGGGGAACAAGAAATGTAAAATTTGAAGTACAGATGCACCAATCCCATGTTAATGTCTGTATCGGTCCAGATATTGAAAAAAAATCTATATGGGGTATTGTGACGCTGTGCCCAATAAATAAAGACAGATCTATTCAGTCTATTTTTATGCTTTGTACTCAGAGCAACGTCATGCTTTATTATTTAATTTAAATGTTTAGAATTCCTAATTGCACTTTCTGAACCATTTGTTGGAGTTTATTTTACATGTCTGACCAACCTAGTCAATCTGTTGTTTTTGTCAATTTCAGTTTCTTTATTATTTATTTCACACTGGCTGTTCTACTCCTAACTGCACTGACTGAATTAAATGAAAGTTGTTTTGTTTTACATATTTGTCCAAACCTGTGAAGCTAGCTCAGGTGTGTGAAGCCACAGCTGAACCAGAAATAGCTAAAGATTGGACTGTTTGCTCAGTGGTCCAAAGTCCATTTTATTTTTAGATGGAAATAAAGTTTGCATTTTGTTTAGAAATGAAGATTCCAGAGTCTGAAGGAAACGTAGAGAGGCTCAGAATCCATGTTGCTTTCAGTCCAGTGTGACTATTCCATAATCAGTTATATTTTGGGTCACCATGTCATTTCCTGGTTCTGGTCCTCTGGGTTTTCTTAACTTCACAGTCAACACAGTCGGCTAGCAGGACATTTTAGAGAACTTCATGCTTCCTTCTGCTGACAAGCTTTCTGGGGACGCAGGTTTCATTTTCCAACAAGATTTGGAACGTGTCTGCTTTACCAAAATCCAGCATGAACATGTCCTAATCTCTGATTGGTGAATCCAGCCGGGCATTGTCAAGTAAACACATGTCTTTGTGTGTAATGAGTTTATAGATGATTATTTACTTTCACTCTTTAAACTGAACTATTGCAACAACATTTTCATGATATTCCAAATTAATGGGACGAGCATGCCCCCATTCACAGTTTGAAGCTTGGATCCCTAAGTGGCCAGTAGGGGGAGTTAAAGACCCAAACGGTCAGCAGGTTGGATTTCCTACTATATAATCAGTCTGCCATCATAAACATGAACAGAAATGATTTCTTTACTTGGTAAAATCCAGGAAGGAGACGTGTCCGTGGTAAAACGCAGGCTTCATTTCCCTCCATTCAGTCACGTTCTTTACAAACCGCACCTGAACACACCAGAAAATGCTGATTACGCCAGTCTGTCTGTCTGTCACACTGTATTAAACCAGAGTCTGTCAGTCTGTCTGTCTGTCACACTGTATTAAACCAGAGTCTGTCTGTCTGTCTACCTGGTCCTGTATGGACATGACGGGGTTGTTTTTGGTGGTGTTGATGTGCAGCACATGGTAGTGGTTCTTCCCGCACAGGTCGTAGGCAATGTTGGTGAAGGAGGTGCTGGCGGTCTTGGGCACGCGGTTGTAGATGATGACCAAGTCGTCCTCGCTGTTGGTCAGTGCGGCCGCCGCCTCGCGCTCCCTCAGGCCGTCCTGCGTGTGCCGCTGCTCGATCTCCCGCACCTCGTGCCGGGCGATGGCTCGCTCTGCGGGAACAACAGGAAACCTGATGAAGCCTCACAGGATTCATCTGATTCTGATACTTTACGCGTGGGCCGCCGTTTGTAAAGTTACACAGTGAAAAAAATAACAGCAGTAATTCGGTTTATTTAGCCTGTCGGAAAGAAAATGAATGTGCTTATTGATTTTTCAACGTCATATTTTCCACCATTTTATTCATACATTTAGAGTTCCGAACTAAATATTTAGTTTTCAAATTAAATATTTAGTTCCAGGCTAAATTTTTAAGTCTAAGCTAAATGTTTAGTTTTCAAACTAGCTCCAAATTAAATGTTTATTTTACTAACTGAAAATTTTGTTCCAAACTATTTAGTTTAAAAAATATATTAAATATTTATTTTCCAAACTAAATATTCAGAAAGCTAGCTAAATATTTAGGTTTCTAACAAAAAAATTTAATTAGTGAGCAGCGGATTACAGAGGTCACAAAACCCAGCTTATGTTTTGATATGCAACATCAGCTAAGCGGTAGGACAAAAACCTTTTCTTGGACCTAAATATTTAGTTGACAAGTTAAGTACTTCGTTCGGAAAATAAATATTTAGTTTGAAAATTAAATGTTTACTTTGGAAAAATACATATTTATATATTGAAGATACATATTTATCTTTCGAACTAAATATTTAAATGGGAAGTTAAATATTTAATCTACAAACTAAATATTTAGCTCCAAATTAAATATTTAGTTTAGAATTCTGGCCTTGAAAAATGAACAGCCATTTCTCAAATGGGTGCTCATTTCAAATCCATCCATTGTTGTGAGGGGTGCAGTAAAACAAATTATTGCTGTTAATTTTTTCAATGTTAACTTTACCAACGGCACGTCACATTTAAAATCCTGCACAGTAAGTCACTGTTGATAAAAGAGAAGCAGCCAGGTCTTGCTGATTGGAAACCATTGATCGGCTGATCATCAGAAACCAGGATGGCCTCTGTAAAAGCTAATGTGGAGACAGTTTGTAGATATATTAATCAGGCTAGTGACAAAACCATGTGGCGAAGGAAAGCACTGATCTAAAAGAAGATTATAAGGCCATAAAAAACCCCCCACAAGTTTTATTTAAGGTCTCAGAGTGTAAAGTTCATAACAGAGGAAAAATGGCCAGAAGAAAGCCCCCCTGGAAGAAACAAAGAAACAAACAAAAAAACTCAACCTATAATGCCCGCTGGATTGATGGAACCAACGTTTGACTAGAATACGGAGAACCACATGTGGATTAAACCCAAATTCAGGCCACCAGAACAAACAGGAAGGATAGTGTGGGCTTGTTTTGAGCTGCAGCATCATGAAAAGAAATATCACTTATAAATCCCAAAGTTTTCTAGAGTCAGATGGGAGGCCATCCAGCTGATTCTGAACCAGGCCATGCAGCAGAACAGTGAACCCAAACAGCAGAACGAAAGGGAAAGCAAAGAAGTATGACGTTACAAAGGTCCAGTTAAAGCCTGAAACTAGGCTGAGCTGAAAAGCTTTGGATACGACACATATAAACATATACAAATGTCTAACAAACCAAAGTGGTGGACATTTACAGGAACTACTGCTGCTGACGCTGGCTCTACAAACTGAAAGGTGTACTTTGGTCCTGAGACGCTGCTTAGATTTAGCTGTATTGTTCCCAGGGAGGACAAGACTGCACCTTCGGAGACACATAAAGACACTTACAAAGTCAGCCTTTTATCACAAGAAGAACATGTCCAGGACTAAAGGACTAATGTCCCAACAAAATTTAGAGAAACTCATCCACGTGTTTGTCTTTTGTCGCATTTTGTCTGCATGTTGCAGTCTTCAAAGGTCTGCCTAAAAGAAAGAAAAAAAAAAAATCAATCAGACAGCTGCAGCTGATCCAGACTGTATGAGCTACAAATCTAAGCTTAAGTTTAAATCTGATCCACTCACTGATGCAGCACTCAGTGACTGTGATCAATAACACAGCTCTGAGAGAGACTAGAGCCGTAACTTCATTAAAAATGGATTTTCATGTCATTCGGCATCGTCCCTGTCCGTGCGTAGCAAAACTAAAACTTGTGCCGTGCGTTGCAAGTGGAATGAAAAATGTCGTCAACGGGATTATTAGTTAATCTTTCTACAAACAACTTGTTTAATCCTGATGTACCGCATCCCAGTAATTATGTAGACAGCTCTGTGATCAATCACATAAACAAACAATCCAATATTTGGATTTATAGTGATGTAAAAGGACGAGACGATGAAAAAAGCATTCTTGTCTCTTGGACTTTCCAGTTTTTCTCCTCACATTGCAGCCATAAACTTGCTCGAGTTTTATTGCATTTTTGTAATGAAGTCCAGCAGAACGTAGTGCAGAACTCTGAGGTGAAAGGTCATATGGTGTTTAAAATGGACTCTAAATAAAGTCCAGTGCGAGAAATGACTTAAAAAAGTGACCTCATTAGGTATTATAGCCCACCTCCGAATAATCTGGGCTTAATTCAACTGTTCTGTGACGTTCTAAGAGGTTTGTTGGCAAACAAACAGCATCATGAAGACCAAGCTAAATAATATCCCAAGCATTAAACATTATCAGCAGCATATGTTGGCAGGACATCCATTAGCCACTGTTGGAAAAAAAAAAAACAACATAGAAAGGCCGGTGTAATGTGTACCAGAACTCATCCATGGGACAAAAGCAATCATATTGAAGAAGATACTCGAAGAAATTAACCTTATTGACTCACATGCAAAACGTTTTGCGGCACATGGAACTGACACTGCACATCACCCTGAACACACAGATCAAAAGTGAGCCATTGTGCTGTAGGGGTTGCTGTTCTTCAGCAGGGGTTGGGAAGTTTGCCAGGGTTCATGACAAGATGGATGGAGCTACATACAGGGAAATCCAGGAAGACAATCTGTTAGGAGCAACAAAAAGACTTGAGACTGAGGCGGCAGTTCAAAAGCCGGGAACTCATTTTCATTTTCCGGCGTGATCCTTTGAGGATCATGAATGTCCTCAAAGGGCCCATTGTGGCAGAATGCACTGATAAAGCTACCCATTAAAAACTGTTAAAATATCAACAAATAGTTTTCTATGCATTCAATCATTATTCTCCATGTTGAATGATACTGAACATCTTTTCACACTGATGTAATTTGGTGGTCTACGGATAAAAGTGTCTTAAAAAAATTAAGCACACAAGTCTTATTTTGAAGGTTCTGTTCATGTGAGGGCCACATTAAACTTATTCCAGGCCGGATTCAACCCCCAGCCCTTAAGTTTGACGCATGTATTAGGATATGAGTTTTACTGACAAATAAGATTTTCCTAAAATAAAAAACTTTTTCCTCTTTTATAAATCATGCTACAGCTTTTTTTTATTATTATTATTTCAATCCCCAAACCACAAACTGATAAAACTATAAAAAAGGGCAAAACATAAAAAAAATCCAGGATATTTGGGAAATTCATTTACTATAAACAATTCAATACTTTGCTTGCTTCATGAAAATCTTCAATATACAACATACTAAATATTAATTAACAGATAAAAGTTTTAAAAAATGTAGTAAGAAATTTATTTTTCCACTGTCGATTAAAAGAATAATAATTGTGGCCCTTGGGCATTCTAATCTTGGTGATTTTGGACCACTGCCCTAATCAAAGTCCAAAATTAAAACCAACTGAGACTTGGAAATTGATTTTATTCCTTCTAATTCAACTTGAGCTAATTTGCAAAGAGTAAGTCAAATCTGTATCATTTAAATTCACTAGAGACAAACCCTACATGACTGTAACTGCAGTGCCAGGCGGTTCTAACAGGTTTTGAGTCAGGAGGGTTGAAAACAAACCCACAGCACACTTTTTAGAACTTTATTTGTACAATGGCCTGTCAACGACACAATGCAAAGCTCTACATGCTCGTCCAGGAAGAGTGAAAGCTGCAAATCAGTGACTCGGTACAGTGCCAACTTGATTAATAAACTAAACTTGACTGAGCATGATGGGTTTTTTTTATGTGCCTTGAGATGTTTGTTGCGAATTGCCTCGGTTTTAATAACCCAAATTAACACTAATAAGTGTTAGAGGTGCAGCCCTGAAGCTGACAGGTTTAAGGGCTGGAGGTTGGCAGTTAGACGTAAAGATACAGTTATTTGATAGCTAACTGGACGTTTACAGGACATCAATGCCCCTTAAATAAGGAGTGCAGAGGTTTTACTGGGGTTATTGCCTCCCAAACACTATGTGAGACTGCAGAGGAGCCAGACTCCGGTGCCTCGGTGTGAATAGACGCAACACAAAGAAGGCCTGGCCTCTGACGCCCTCCGGCTTTTCTTTGCCAAAATTTGCCTCCAGATTGACGGCCGTTGACAAAGACAACGAACGCTCCGCAGGAAGGATGTAGGGAGAGGAAGTTTGTGTGAGTGTGTGAAGAGAGAAGGCAGCAACACCAGAGTGCCTAATACCCGTGGGAGCTCCAAATGGAGTGCTGATTTGAAGCAGTGCCTTGCACAAGGGGCACAGGCCCGTCCTGGACAGGCCTGCATAGTTTTTACGAATAAAATTTTATTTGGGGTTCCACTTTTTTCCTCATTGTGAGTATATGTACATGAAGTGCCCTCCTGAGCTACACAGCCCCATGCAGCTGTTTACGAGGCGGGATCGGATTTCACTTCCACTCGCTTGTGTCCGCTGGACATCGGGTACAGTGGAGTGGAGACGGGCCAGCTGCTGGTGATGGACGAAGGGTTCATCAGCATGCACAACAACTGGATTGAAGACATGTGTTCACGTGACGACGGAGGGTTCGCCTCGGCCAACATCAACAGCAGTAACAGTTGCTATGTTGGAACCTTATCGCCTCAGATCAAGTGACATCTTTGGAATATTTTGATCCGGAACAGAGAGGGTACACAGAGTACCGCGGAACCAGCGGTCCGTGACAATACAAGTCATCAACGTCACACGCTTCAGAGTGGCACAGAGTAGCAGGTGCTTGAAGGAACGCAGTCTACTTTCCTCTTCTCCACATCCTGTAA